GTCTTTTTTTAGTAGATGGTCGTTGATAGTGTGTGCATTATCGTGGGTGTGGTCATGACGTACAGGTGTCCATAGGCGTAAACAGGTGAAAAAAAATTCAAGTTCCTCTTCCATGCGTTGCACATAGTTGCTCAGAAATTCGCATGGATGCTTTACACTTTGAGCTTGCAAAGCGCAACCGAGGCTAAGGTTTACTTCTACAGCTCTGTCTAGCGTAGAATGTGCGACAGATGGTCGCCAAATAAAAAGACAACGTCTAAATGGTTCAAGTCTGCTAGTGTTGCTCTGAAAGCATTTTCGGTTCCATGATCCTAGATCCCTTAAAATGTGTATTCAAAATGGTAATGCCGACTACAAAATTGAACAAGAAGGGTGGGTGGGTTAATGCCGACTAAAAAATTGAACAAGAAGGGTGGTTGGGTTAGGGCAGCCTTGCCGATCTGGGGAAGCCTCTGAGAAGTTCATCGTAAACCATTACACTACTATAAGGATGAGGATAGAGAGCACGAAGTCTGTTTACAAACATTTCAAGTAACATAATTAACATGTTTGTTGAATCAAAGCCCCTTTGAAGCCGCGAGAAGCCGCGTTGTGTATGTCGCCAGTGAAGTATTTGCCGTAACGTGAAGATGGGATTTATACACTCCCCTACCTGGGCGGAATTCCGCTTGATGCCAAACGATTTCGGTCCCTCATATCGTGTTAGGAACTAGAAATATAAAAACAGTACTAATCGTCGTTCAGCTGTAGCATCCGTCCAGTGTCTACCTGCCATACCAACCGAAGGAAGCCAACATACTGCCAGGTTGCCAAATCCAGTCATGCTCCGTAGTCGAGAGGCAGAGGTCGGGTCTGAACCACGGACCTCCCCGTCAGTAAATTCGCCCTCTAAGCACTGACTCACAGTTTCAAGGCAAAAAGGCGTATTAGTGAAAGCAAGAAGGTGTTTGCTGCGGAGTTATTTGATAGAAGATGCCAGCTGACCGGTCACAGACTATTGGACAGGGAGGCAAAACTCTAATTTGCATCTTATTTACAAAAACTGGACACCCATCTTCTCCTGAACGCGTCTTCTTGAACTTTCCTGGATATTCATTGACTCCAATCATTCATTGCTCAAATCCAAGAAAATGTTACAAAGCGAATCCACAAATTCCGCAACAGATCTCCCCTTTTCAAGAGACGCAAAGCGAAATTCCAAGAACAACGCATACTACTCGCATGCCTCCCCATCAGTGGTATCACCGTTACATTAGTAGTTCATCGGCTGATGGAAGGAGATCCAAACTCATGGACCACTGCTCAAAATGAGCGGTTAAATGGAAGATATCTGTATAGGAACCAGTGGTCAGCTAAACTGTTATTGAACATATTCTGCCAACAATCCCGATGCTGACCTCTATTGTGTATTTCATTATCGTCCAATATTACTGTTCCAGTATTGCTCTTTTGCGAATTTGATTGGAAAGTTTCCATGCACTCCTCGCCATACAAACCTCCTCCATTCTTCGAACTTGCCGGTTCCACTATGCTCCCTCTCCACACACAGACTTTGTTTCAATTAACGCTTAACGGATCGTCTAAGCCAAGTATGCTGTGGTATGGAAGGCATACAATATCTTGTATGAAAAAGTGAAAACATAGTTTCTGAGACCTAGTGGTCAGTATGTACGCGGTCGGAAACACCGTTTATCAAGCTTTGACCAAATCAACATATGTATGGGGCGAAATGGCCCAAGTGGTTAGAGCGCGAATTTTCTGACCGGAAAGGTCCGCGGTTCGAATCCGACCTCCGCCTCTCGAATTCCCCTGTCTAGGCTTGGGCAACCTGGTAGTATCCCAGCCCTTGTGCTTCCTTCAGGTGGCTTGGCAGCTAGGCTCCGAAAGGGTGCTACAACTGAACGCTTCTTCGTATTCCAGAATGATGACATTCGAGTATTGTGCTATCGACTCCACTATTGTGAACGCGAGGCCAGAAACCTAGTACTACTCAGGAACAACTGTTGTTCTGCAGAGTTGCAAATAATTTTGAAGTAAACTTGGGACCAAATCATATCTCTCATGTACTGGGAGACCCTACCTGCACATTGACATCCCCTCTCTTAAGACTGTACAGACTCTGCGTGGTGGATGAATGTCTGATTATTTCTCGACGGAGGGTCTTTATACTGAATCAGAGCTACAGCTACAGAGCTAAGCAGTAACCATAAACAAAGAAAGCGACATAGCTGGCCCAAGTGACTCAGTTTTTTGTTGGCGCACTGTGACAAAAGAACAGGGAATTCACGGTAACCGAAGTGGATTGCGACTGCGTTTTTGTGTTAGATTACGGGCATATGGTTTTGACAGACAAAGAGATCATGTTGAAAAGCGAAAAATCAATGTACAGCTTTTCCTTTTTACTTGGGATCATCACTGGCATTTCAAACCCCCGAAATCCCAGCTAGTAGGTGGGGACTACACGTTTGGCAACAATTGACCGATTAATCAGCAATTAAAACGATATGGCGCCACTTCTTTTCAACCGTGCCGTTTGCATCACTTGGTCACACGTCGTCCGATCCTTTCGCCGGCGGCTCACTCAGTGGAAGTCTTGCAAACGTTTTCCTTCTTCGTTTGCTCGGAGTGCTCGGATGAGATGTCGGAATTTTAATAGAAATTTCATCCTGCCAGTGAAGTCAGTCTACGGCTCCGAAGCTCAGTACGGCCGTTTCGTCCCGTCTAGACTCCATCAACAATCATCATCTCAGGAATCTCTAGGGAGATTCGTGAAGAAATTGCTATCTGAATTTCAAAATTGCATACTACTATTAGAACAAGAAAAAACTGCGGTCATTTTCCGCAGCTTCTTTTCTGTCAAGAACGGTATTTGAACGACATTTTCTAATTTTCCTTTTCCTAATTAACAAAATCTCGGCTGTTTGTGCCAGACCATCTCGCCTTAAGGGAAGAATTACGAAGGTGTGGTGAAATTCGGGTGAAGGGGTGAATATTTTGTGCATTAGTTGAGAATAAATAGGCAGTGAATGGGATGTATTTGAGGAAGCTGACTGAAGTTTATCCGATTGTGGTCCATCCTGGTTATTCTGATTAGATCTGCTTATTCGCCAGGGTTTACGCAGTATTACCTTGAACATTTTGCCTCCTACCCGTGAACTGATAGCTACTCGCCGTTAAGACCACACATGGATGATCAGGGTAGTTTTCGTCGGTCCGTGTAGGTTGTCAAATTTTTTTCACTGTACGTCCTACCTAAACCGTCCCATAGTTCAAGTTCTTCGGTGACGTCCACAATTCCTTTGTGTGAGGGGTCGGAATGCTTGACAAACTGCTGTGTTGGTGTTGTGATGATGACAATTTTGTTCATAGACCTACACCGGATAAACTTTTTGCAGAAGTGTACATCATCTCGGTTGGTTCGGTATCTTTACTGTTTACTTTCCGCTTGCTAGATCTGCACGAGGTGGGTGTATTGTTTTTCTCAGCTGTTCGGTTTTCATTACACTGGACATTACGACAAGACAATTATTTAATGTTTTCGGGCTGGCTTGGAACTTGTAGGATGGAAATTTCTCGGGTGTTCATTTTCTATGTATCCATCATCCGTCTCAACTGGTCAGCTTTTAGCAGATTATGATAAAACTCAGCCCGTCATACGCTAAAACGGCTGGCGATCAGCTGAACTTCAGGGAATTCGTGAATTTTTCACTTTGGCAATTACACAACATGGTGTATCAAAGGTTTTTCAAACTGTTCAAATGCTAAATGAAAGTTGTCGCAATAAGGCTATGGATTGCTCAAGTGGGTAGAGCGTGAAGTTACTAACCGAAAGGTCCGTGGTTCGAGCCCGACCTCTAGCCTCTCGACTTCCCCTGTCTAGTCTTGGGCAACCTGGCAGTGTCTCAGCCCTCGTGCTTCCTTCGGGTTGTATGGCAGCTAGGCACCGGAAGGGTGTTACAGCTGAGGCTATGGAACTGTCTTGAGTCCTTGAAGTTGAGCGGGTGGTTATACTCACACTTCGGACGAATTTTGACATATCCCAGTTGTCATGGCTCAGTGGTTAGAGCGCTTATTTACTGACCGGAAGGTCCGTGGTTCGAATCTGACCTCTGCCTCTCGACTTCCCTCTCTAGGCTTGGGCAGTATCTTTACCCTCGTGCTTCCTTTGGGTGGCATGGCACCTAGGCACCAAAAAAGGTGTAACAGCTGAACGATTGTCTTTATTTCTTTGTCTTACTAGTTGGCATGGGTATGGAGCAAATTGTTCAGTTCATTATATGCTAAATGTGTTTCAAACTATGACAGATGTTTGCTAATAAATACCAATAATAAAGAATACTTTGGATACTCGCTCTAGCCATTCTCATGCGTTCGAGCTTTCTTTGTGAGACACTATCTTATTGATTTAGAACGCCCAAGTATTCAGGAACAGTGCGCCCAATCTTGCAATGTCATCTAACGGCTATAACGTACATGGGAAATTATAACGATTACGCTTAATTGTGTGAACTGCTTGGAAAGCACTGCTGAAGAACCCTCATGTGTACAAGAAAGTTGGGATTTTATATCCTTCACCCACCTCCTCACTGTCTAACTTTTGTCACTCGCTTCACCCACTGGTAGTGATCTTTTGGGGGTTCAGTGTTTTAGATCGAAGTAGAATTCTTTACTATGCTTCCGCACATCGTATTCAGCTATTTTAGGGGTTGAAGTTTTCAAAAAGTGATGCCATGATTGTGATTATCAGGCGCTATCTAAATTCAAACCTTGATGACGTAACATTGAAAGGATTCTCTGTTGGCTGTCCAATTCAATTGTTTAATTCCTATAACTGGTGGAGCTGCGAAACTGTCAACCCATTTGCACCATGGGCATTCGGTCTTTTTAGGTAGTTAATTGTTCGTTCATTCTGGTGTCAATGCTCACTAGTCGCGCATTGTGAGGCACTTTTCGGCCGTACTTCACATGACCTTGAACACCAATTCCTCTTCCATTTTTAGCTTTATTCACTTCCGAATTCCAAGCCGATCTGCCGGGGGGACTCACCTGGCCCCATCCATTCGAAGGGAGCTTGGGTAAGCTACTCTTTAGACCTAATTTGATGCCCATGAGATTACCCACCGGAATCAAATTAACCTAGGCGCGCAATTACTTGTTTAGCAGCTACAGTTAGAGCCCGAACAAAAACAAAATCATTATAAAATACCTTTTTGTCCTTGTGGAAACAAATCTTCCAGGAGTAAAGACAATTCTGAGCACTCGCAGACAAGAAGATACCCCTGGATTTCTCTCTATGTATATGCTGTTGCGAACTGTCAGCGCTGAAACCTTTAATGTAAGAACTCCGACACGATCATGACGCGCCCAAAAATACTGGTGAATGTCAGCTGTTCACGCGTCATAATGAAAAACCATTTCGCCAACCTCGTCACATGCATCACAGCCGGGCTACCAGTTCATTATGTTGCCAGTCTTGTGACAACGGACTGGTCAAGTTCCGTATCACCGAACGTGTTGTAAACGCAGATTCAGTACGCCTACTGTTTAACACTTGAGGGAGCCATTATGCAACTGGCAGATGCATGCTTAGCTCTGGCTCCTGGGACGAGGCACAGTCCGATTTTAGAACAGATGCGCATCTGCTCTTCAGCGAGGTAAGTCGCTTCTGCAGATACATAGGCCTGGCGATAGGGACTGCCTGAGGGACCGGTCGGCGGTATTCCCCTGGGACGCATCTCCTGGAGGATGTGCAAAGTCTCCGAGTTTGCGTGCTACCAAAATAACCCTCGAGTGAGCTGTTTCAGCTATAAATTCGTTGGTGAATTCACGAGACTGGGACAAAATGGTCCATTTAAGCGTTGAGCTCCGTACGGACGCGGTGCTTATTGGGGGAAGTGGACCACTGCACCGTACTCTTTTGAGTTCGTGGGGATAAAGTCGTATGGAAATCCAAAATGCATTGGCATCCTGGAGAGATCCTCCCGGAGAAGAGGCTACCTTTGAGCGATTTTACTGGTTTTATGACCCTGAAAAGACAAACCCTAGCTTGGAATGTGGACAAATTTCGGTCGAATCCCCCAAAAATGGAATGTGGACATGATCAGGCGTCAGAGGCGATCATTTCCATCTCATCTAGGACTACTGTTTGTCCTGTCGCACGTGATATTTTTCAGTTGCCATTGCTGGAAAATATATCCACAACACCACAGGAACTGGCCAACCGCACAGCTAGGCGCCTTAATCGTCGCTGCCAAAGATTAGTTCAGCGCTGTAGTTACACGGTGACGAAATCGATGATCGTTTACGTCACCCTACCACCTGGAACTCGTTGCGCGAGTAACTGGCTATACAATTAAGCTTTAGTGTATGCCAATTTTCATGCTGAACAAAGGTCATGTGCTCGGGTATGTACACTACTTTCAAGTCGCGCAAGACATAGCTTTCAAACGATGATGCAATGATAAGAACAAAGGTAACGGACGAGGCCTGTTTCATGTGATTGTCCATCTTGGCGAGTATCTCACGGATTTATGTGAAACCAGACGTGAATTGTGTACATGGTTAGATAAACGGAAAAAGGAGGAGTGCGCACAAGTCGGTGGATCATCGAGTTCGATGGATGACGCCATAGTCAGACGGTCATGAAAACACAGTAGCTGTAGGCCAGCGCGAGTTCAAAGGTCTCACGGGTTTCCTTTGGATACAGCTCTGTGTTACGGGGTCGGATTCCGATAGCTTCTGCTCAGCTCGGGCTAACAAATGAGCACCCATGGAAGCTGCTGTTAGAGTTTGACATTTCGGCTTATAAATGTAAATAGGTCTGCCCGGTTCTAGCAGGCTTGCAAGCAATTCGGCCGAGTCCTGCTACAGAAATATTCCTGGATGTCCAATCAGGTGAAAAATACTTGGAACCGATTGAGTAGTCACCGTTTTCGAAAAAAACTTTTGGTCACAATCGGCAGATTTATTGCTGGGCAACGTTTCGCTTTTGACACAAAAGATTTGTCAGCAGTTCGAATCGAGATTGCCAAAGACTTCAAGAAATAGGTTACCCAGTGAGTTTGATTAGGCGTCAACTAAGGAAGAAATTGACTCGGGTAGCTAGACCCAGTAAGGAATGGATTGGCACAACAGTCATTCCATATAAATCAGCAACATCGGAGGTTATTCGAAGACTGTTGAACCTAGCCATCATTCGAGTAGCTTTCCAGAAGGGAAAAACGCTACGCTCTGTTTTGGTGCAATTGAAAGATCCCCTGCCGGTTGAAAGGACTAGGGACTGTGTGTAAGAAACTAGCCGCAACGATTGCACTAAGGTGTACATAGGACAAACTGCCAGGGAATCGCGCACCAGAATTGGTGAGCATAAAAGAAGGATTAGCAAACCACCAAGGAATGCAGAAGAATACCAAACGCTGGTCAAAGACTCAGCGATGGCGGTACATGCCTTAGACACGGGAAACACAATAGATCTGGAGAATGTGGAAGTTTTAAGACGGGGACTGCGATTCACACCACAGCGGCTGATAACCGAGGTGGTTGAAATTGCTATGCATCACAGTGTGAATAGAATAGAACTGGCGAGCGTATGGAAAGCGGTCTCAGATAAGCTGAGTTAACACGTGATTGTGTGGTTGTTAACCCACGTAGAATCATAAGCAAAAACCGGGGAGTGGGGGTGGGAATCACTACCCGACCGAAAGTCACAGCATCCCTCTCACACAACTATCTCAGCACTAGCTCATCCACACAGACAGAGAGGAGGTTCAGAAAACGTTCAAGAGGGTCCATCAAATGGACCAAACCAGAAGAACTAGACCCTAGGCTGGACCCGAACACATGTAGGTTTCCCCATCGACCCACCCTAACACACAAAAATCCCTCGGCCGACACCAAACAGAGATTAGCTTGACTTAGCTGATTGGTTCTCCTTCCGCCTTAAATCTCGATCAATCTCGGAACCTGGTCACTTGGCCCGACGTTGCCCAGGAATAAATCTACCGGTTGTCACCAAACTTTTTCGAAAACGATTCCTGAGCGTCACTCGTGTTTATGCACTTTGCGCCATTGTTTTTTCCCGTTGACCTTAACGCGAACATCTGTTTGTTTTTCGTGTCGTATTATGTTGGGGACTAGATTTTCTTTGAGGTTTGTCCCGTTCATATAGGCTTCCCACTATCCTCGATTCAGATTCGCCAGACAAGGTGTTCATCTTAATGTAGGCATTTCCATCGATCAGGACAATTCTGGTCTCCTCCTTTTCTGGTTTAGGTAGTGAAACTTGATCATTCGTCTGTGAAGGTTTCAGGGAATCAAAATATTTTTCTCCGGTTTATTCGAGCGGTGGCTCTGCTAACATGAACTTCGTTTTTTACGTTCAGTTTTGAAGATGGAACTGCCTCAGGTACCTGACCATACAGACTTTCAAACTGGACATCCAGTGCAAAGTTACTATTCTTTTGTCATGATTTGGGGTCGCCGTTACAATGCCTGCAAAGTGGCTTTGTCTGGCCTCAAAGAGTAAAAAGTGTGCAGGAAACTTCGTGCGCGATGTTCGAGGGTTAAGATGACTTGCGCTTTTGTTTTCTGGTGACGTCATTCGATTTCCCTGCCATACGTTGAAGGAGGTCTTGACTTTCGGATGCGGACGAGGTTGTCGTGCTCCTGTGCGTTGGACTTGTTTGTATGCCATTCCACGAATAGCTTCGCGCCGCCTTAATACGATGCTTGTCGGCTCGGCTCTATTTCCTCCCATATTACACTAGTTCCTGGTAAACTGATCCAGTCCAATAGACTAGTTCGGGAGGTGAGACATTGTCCTGGTTTTCGCGGTTTCCCCACTACCCCCCGGTACTTCTGAAGTCGCCTTAGGATGCACGGAATTTTTTTATTGCTTTTTGAAGCGACTTAGGTTACCCGTAGATGTCATGATACGGAAAAAGGTAGCGAACCAAAGCGGTTTTCTGTGATGGGACTTTGTTTCCACCGAATACTGACGATGTGAGGCTGCTAGTAAGTAGTTGGACGAAAGATGCGAAAACGATCAGGTTATGTGACTTCATTTTAACCGGTTGTACATTGTAAGATTACGCTTGCATGATGCTGGGACTTTCGAAGGATTTCATACTTGTTCGGTCTTGCTGTTGACGAGTCCCAGTAAGAAAGGCAGGTTTCGTCTGACATGTATTTTTAAAGTCCGAAGGCGTTCACTGTAGTGGCATGAAGCAACCTTTAGTATTTTAGAATGCACTGGTGGACCATAGCAAAAGTGTGGGGAATTGTGAGGTGAATCAGGCCACTGGGGGGTGCATTTCACAGCGTTGGGGAATTGTGAGGTGAATCAGGCCACTGCTGAAGTGATGGGGGTGCATTTCACAGCGCATTCAGAATGAAACCTTTAGCATTGAAACGTTTTGAACCTGTAGTTCGTTCGTGGAGAATAATACCAATAACAGCAGCAGGAACAATTTCTAATAAAATTGCGTTTTGTTCTGGTCCTTCCTCTGGGGAGAAAACCCTTCAAAAGGGGCTATTTTTGGCCAATCCTTTGAAGTGTTCTTCCGAAACTAGACAGAAAAAATCGTTCAACTGTAGCACTCTTTCGGTGCCTAGCTTCCATGCCACCCGAAGGTCGCACGAGGGCTGGGATACTGCCAGGTTTCCCAAGCCTAGACAGGGGAAGTCGAGAGGCAGAGGTCGGGTTCGAACCACGGGCCTTCCGGTCAGTATATTCGTGCACTAACCACTTGGACCGTCTCGCCCTCTGTCACTGATGCGACGTAGCTCTTACCAGAGTGTGGTCTCGTATTGTGACTTCAGTGGGTCGCTGTATCTGTTGTTTTTTGGAGTACATACGGCGAAACTCCAGGTCGGAAAACTTCCCCGTGTTCTTCACTGTGTTCGAATGACTACCGAAGCGTCACCTGAAACTCTACAACTAAAGTCATTCGGACTCGCCTTGAATCGTCTTGAATGGTTGCATCTCACTTGCCATGTTTTTCACTGTCTACACCTGTTTTGGAACACTTGAACTAATTGTACACATTCGATGTCGTTCTGTACACACAATTTGCCC